CACTGCAATTTGAGCAAGTGGTTTTAATCTAAAAGTTATTCTATAAATAACCATGCTGTAATTTCAGGGAGTAAAACAGCAGGATATTTTAGACTTTTATTATTATATTATTTATTATTATTATTTATTTTAGACAAACTTTATTGATCCACAAGGGTATTTGGACACAGTTAAAATGTTGTGAGAGTTTTGAAGGTTGGTAAAAATAGTGCTCAAGCCCTAACTATACTGTTGTCTCTTTTGTGTGCAGGTGGTGGTCCCAACACGCGTGGGGCAGGTTTACGTCTATGACACAGTGAAAGGAGACCAGGACGAGTATGATGTCCCACCCAGGCATCAGACAGTCGCCCAGCAGGACATATACGATGTGCCCCCCGCCCGCCAACACTTTAATACCCAAGTCAGTAATTGACTCTTGTGAGCTTTTAGTCATTTAAGAATGTTGTTACCTCCTCAATAACCTACCTGAAGCTCCAAAGCTCAAAATACTTTGTTCCACCTTGTGATGACATGTAGTGATAGCTTTCAAGTTAACAACTACCTTTTTACCTTTAGTTCAGTAGAGATAAGCAATTCCACAGATAAAATTATCCAGATAATTCCAGTGAAGTTGTATGGAGTTTAAAATCACAATAGAGCACTTCTTGTATTACCACATGACATCACAAGGTGGAACAGGGTATTTTCAGTTTGAGAGAAGAACGCGGGCTTAATATGCAGCGTCTATATGTTAAATGTGTGAATTAAACAAAACACAACTTCAGGTTTGCTTTTGATGAGGAAACAATAACATAGATCAGAAAATAGAATCATATGGGCCCTTTAAGATATTGTTGTTAAGGTTTCACAATCTAATTTATCTGTAAAGTCAAATCAATAAAGAGGCATAGTATGTATATATAATATAGTATTGACTTTTCTTTTTGTGGTAGGTGTATGACACTCCTCCAATGGTGGTAAAGGGCCCATCTAGTGTTCAAGATGTGTATGACACTCCTGCCAGCAAAGACAAGCTTGCACAACAGCAGGTATGAATTGTGGACATTTTAACGTGTAACTTCATAGTTTTTTTTTACAGAAATACTTAATATATTAATTACAATATTTATTATATTAAGCCAAATCCTAACCATAATCATAACCATGTTTTTTATGTTAATTTAACCATTTGCTTTTTGAATTTTAGTGTAAAAGATGACCAATAGACTTGTTTATCTCATTAGGTCTATGACTTCCCTCCATCTGTGAGCAAAGACGTGCCTGATGGTCAACCAATCAGAGAGGAGACCTATGATGTCCCGCCTCATTTTGCCAAACTCAAAGGGCCTGTGGCAGTCCCGACCTCCCAGTACCTCCACAACAACATGAACGATGACGATGATGAGCCCCCCATACCGGAAGATGTGTATGATGTCCCACCCCCCATCCTGACGGAGAAGCATTTCAATAGAGTCCAGCCCAGTCAGGACATCTATGACATCCCCACCAGCCTCAGGACAGGCTACCCCGGTCAGGACGTGTATGACTTCCCTCGAGAGAGGAACCCGGAGAGGCCTGCAGAGAGAGGGGAGCAGTATGTGTATGATGTACCACCACAGGTAGGCAGCAAGGAGATTGTGAATCTGAAATATTGAATAGTACAGAATTGTTAAAAGTATAATGTCATTATAAACATCATAATTTGTCTTTTGTAGGTTGTGCGTGACCCTCAAACTACAGATGACCTCAGCATGTCTTTCAAACGCCTGTCAGCCTCGAGCACTGGCAGCACACGCAGTAACCACTCGGCATCATCTTTAGACATGGTGCCTGTTCGGGACACGTCAGTCCCTGCCCCTCTCCCTGGGAAACCCCTCATGTTGGACCTGGACCAGGCCATGGAGCGCCTGTCCCGTCTGCAGATGGCTGTGGAGTCCAATGTGTCTCTCATGATGTCCTTTATCACTGGCAACTGGAGGAGTGCGGAGCAGCTGGAGGGGAACCTGCCCGCCATCCACCAGGCAGCGGACCGCGTCAGGGCTTCGGTCAGGGACTTCCTGGAGTTTGCCCGAGGTGCTGTGGCCAACGCAGCTCAGGCCACAGACCGCCTGCTGCAAACTAAACTGGGGCGACAGGTGGGCAAAATGGAGGAGGTGTTCCATAGTTTAATTCAACACAGCCAGAGCTTAGATGCCATCGGCTGGTCGGCCGCTGCACTCGCAGTGCCACCTGCAGGCGGAGATGACCTGGACAGACTGGTCATCACCGCTCGGGGTATCCCAGACGATACCAAACAGCTTGCCTCTTTTCTCCATGGAAATGCCACACTGCTCTTCAAACGGACCAACAGGCAGCAACAGCAGCTGCCTCTTCCTCCAATCCCAGGGGACGTTAGTGGGAACATGACAGGGTCAGGCAGTGGCACGTATCATGGAGGAGAGAAAGTGCACATTCAGTCTCGACCTCTTCCCTCTCCGCCCAAGTTTACATCCACAGAAGAAGAGGGGCCAGTGGAGCGGCCATACGAGAGCACTGAAGAGGGCTGGATGGAGGACTACGACTATGTGCATCTACAGGTATGTTTGTCAGCTACTGAAGTCAGCGTGTATCTACCCAAATCACATCCAGCTGTGTAATTTGTTATTTTGGGTGACTTAATCTAGATAAATCATTGATTCTCTCTCTTATTGTATTTGTCCCGTTTGTAAAATGTGGCTGAAGTAGAAAGTTTTTACTTTAAATTAAGTTTATGTTTTGTGTATGACGACCAGAGGATGCCAAAGATCAATAATTTTAAAATGTGTGTGTTTCTCAGGGAAAAGAGGAGTTTGAAAAAAACCAAAGACAGTTGTTGGAGAAAGGCAACATCACCAGACACAATGCACAACTGGAACAGACCCAGGTAAGGCAGCTTATCATAATAATATCAGCTTATCATAATCACTGTATTGGTTAAATACATAGTTCATTTGAGTGACCAACTTAATGTGACTTTTTCCTTTTAGATCAAACAGTTTGAGCGCCTGGAGCAGGAGGTCAGTCGGCCAATCAACAACGACATGACAGGCTGGGTCCCGTCTCCGCACCACCCCATGGCCCACTCCCACAACGGCTCCTCGGGACCACCCTCCAAACTGTGCCACAGCGACCGCCAGCTGTTGCTCTTCTACCAGGAGCAGTGTGAGCAGAACATCACAACTGTCACCAATGCCATTGATGCCTTCTTCACCGCCGTCAACTCCAACCAGCCCCCCAAAATATTCGTAGCACACAGCAAGTTTGTGATCCTGAGTGCGCACAAGCTAGTTTTCATTGGGGACACTCTTTCACGCCAAGCTAAGGCCCCCGAGGTGAGGGCAAGGGTGGCTCAAAGCAGCAACACGCTTTGTGAAAAACTCAAAGACATTGTGATCAGCACTAAAACAGCAGCACTGCAGTATCCGTCGCCAGGGAACACAAGAGAGATGACAGAAAGGGTGAAGGAGCTGGCAGGGTGCACACAGCAGTTTAGGATGGTTCTGGGACAGCTCTTGGTCATGTAAAAAGAACTTAAAACTGAGTCAGGACTCTACTCTTCTGGACCTTCCACATCTTTTGTTTTTATAGACTATTCTATCTTCAGCGGGCTGGGCCGATTGTTGTAAAATAATCTGTGTAAATACTTAAGTTACATAATATTTAGCCAGTAAAGAAAGATGAAAGATGAATAAGGATAAAATATATACAGTCCAGTTCATATGTAAAATGTCATTATGTCATTATGCCTCAATGCAGCACTACAAGGGTGGGAATGAAACAAGAAAATGTGATTAAACTTAAAAAAGAATGTTGCACAATTTTAACAATAAAATAACCACAGTACATCAGTTTTGAATAAATAAATAGAAACTTTTGTTATTATTCATCTTTATATTGTAAGTAAGAATGTAATGATATCATAAACTGCACCCTTCCCAAGCTTGGGTGAATAAACAGGGTTAACTTCAGAAGAAAAAACAAAGAGACAATAGGAGGTGTCTATTTTAATTTTAGATATGGTGCAGCAAAGTTATTGTTGATCATGTTTTTCCACATCTCATTTCTTTTATATCAAATCCAACATTTCTTCCCAACTGCTCTAAAACGTAAACAGAGGAAAGGAATTGTTTTTTTAAAAAAAAAAAAAAAACACTTGTAGTTTTTAGGCCATATATTGGTGGTATTATTATTATTACGGCACCATACAGGCATAAATATGATCTTATTTCTTGTCATAGCATCTTCCTTGTTAAAAATTGTAAATCTACAATATGTATGACTGTATTTTATAGGTCATCATATGGGTTTGCCCTAAACTCACACTCAAAATAAAAGCCACATGTTGTCAGCAGACTATACTTCTGAATTATGTCTAAAATCTATACAACTCCAGTGTCAACCAATGTTTTTGTAGAATAAATAAATTGGTTTGTAAGAGAGGCATGTATTGAATGATGGAGTGTAATATATCTGCTAATGTAATTAAAGCTGCAGTTGATAGATTCTCTGACAGTGATGTGATGATTTTTTTTTTTTTTTAAGTTTAAATGATAACTTAAAAATTACTCAATAAACCTAACCAGTTGCGCCTACGATGTAATCTGATGTGTTCATGTGCACAACCATCCATGCATGTTTGCTGTGTACACACAAATGTTCCACAATGTTTTGATAGATCTGTCTGGAGTCTCCAAGTTCCATTGACAAAAATAAAAATGGATGTACTACCTTAAATAAACAAAATGAAATAATGTCACCTAGAAATACATTGCATGATACTCCATATAGTTAGCATATGTAGAAAGCAATACATATTCAGCTTTCATGTGAAAATTCCTCCTTTGTTGTGTCATATCAGCAAATGTACAATGTTGATACTGGTATTACATGTATTAACTATTATGAATTATTTCCTTTTCAGTCAAATGGCCCATGCATTGGTTCATCAAAGTTTGCATTGTTCTTGTAGGAGCAATGCTTTACCAGAAGATGGCGCACAAGACTCTTTAAAATAAATCCTTTATTATATAAATGTGTTTGATACAAAAATATCACAAGTAATTACAAAAAGCATCTTGCTGACATTACAAAGTTTACTAGGTGTTGGACAGACAGTGGTTTGGCCTTAGCTCTGTGCTGGACTGTCACAGACTGAAGGGGTGGACTCAAAGACACACCTGTTTGTTATGACTTTGGAAGTCAATCCAAATCGAACTGGAGACAGATAAACCGGGATAAGAGATTTGCAGCAGTGCAGTAAATACAAATACACATTTTTACTATAGTGAAAATATATCTCACCTGCTTTTCAGGGTATTTTAGTTTATAGCGGTACTTTTTCCATAATAACTGCAAAAGTTATAATTTGGGGATACAGAAAAATGTCAACTTGTAAAAGTGAACTGTGTAAATGCAAAAGTAGAGTTTAACCAGTAACCTCCTGCCTCTCAATCTGACTGCAAGGATCATTTGCTTGATAAATACAATTAACTTTTTTGACTAACTGACTTAAAAAGTTACAGACAACTTTTGTGTCATATTTGTACACATACACAACAAAAATATTGATTGCACATTTGAGTCTCCAGGTATGGGAAAATGAAGAGTACAAATTGACGTAAAGTATCAGCTGAGGTAGCTAACTCCTCTTTGTTTAAGTGCTCTTGGCAGTGCTTGCTGGTTAATAGTTTAACATTGATCTTTTGAGTTCAGAGAACTACATAATAACTGCTTAAAAAACACATTGTCATCCTAGAAGTCTTGGCAAATTATCACAATAAAGAAGGAACATTTCAGATTTGAGAGTTGTCTCATTGTCAGCCATAGTATCGATTCATTTTGAGAAAAGATGAAGATTGGTTGTGTAGAGGGTTGCATTACTAAGCACATTTCTAGAGGTCAGAGTGATTTATGACAAACACATATAGATCTACACATAAATATACAAACAAAAGACAGTTTGTTATTCAATGGCTTCACAATCTACTCTTGTAAGTGGTACTTTGGGGCTTTCTGTATACACATTAATTCTTCACTAATATTCACAATAGCAGCAAACATACTTTTGGTGAATGGGACAGGGTCGGATTCACAAAGATTCACTTCTCACAACATTCAACATGACTTCTTTACACATATATATACAAACTATACACATTTGGCATGGTGGTTTCAGACATAGAAAAGCTCAAATTGCGAGGATACCAAAAAAGGATTTACTTGGCCATAAGTCTTGAGTTTCATTCGTAATCGCAACATTCACTCAGTCATTCTTGGATTCAAATGTTCAGTGATCCACACACTCATCCACTGCTTTCTTTAACATGAAGAAGTCCTTTATATTTTTACTCATCTTGTGGCTCACACTGCTTCGACACAAATGCAATGGTGTGTGCTGTTTCTATGGGAACAAGGCTCAGTTGGAATGGATATCCAGAAGGAGCTGCTCAAATTGTGGTGATGATTGGTTTAACTGTTTCCCAAATCACTCACCTGTATTTTGAAGTTCAATCAGTATCAACCCAGAGTAATTCATTTCCTTTGGACATGTCAGTTAGCACCAGTTTCTTGTTGGTGAGTGATTTGGGACAATGATGTGGACTGGAATGACGAGTGAGGAGCTTCAAACAGGTACAGAGCAGCAGTTTTTGTGAGTCTTCCATCATGAGTTTGTGATGATGTGGGGTCATGAGGAGTCGGTACAGGGCGATGGCGGAGGGGGGCACAGGTGAAAATAGGACCTCTCTGTGGATGGCGAAGGCGGGCAGCTGTCCTCCGCAGACATGTACTGGGAGCGGGGTGTGGGAGGAGGAGGGTAGGGGTCTGAGTCTGAGTTCAGGTCCATGTAGTACTTGTTGTGTTTGCCGTGGTTACCGTACCCTGTCACCTTCCAGCGCCCCGCCGAGGAGCCCAGGCCCACGGGGGGGTGGGGGTTGTAGTCGCTGTCGCAGACGTCGGTGCTGCAGGGGGTGGTGGGGGGGGCAGCTCCTCGCACCGGGTGGTATGGTCTGAGGGGCAACATCATTTCATATTTAATAGTACATATTCAGTACTATTACATTTATTCAGCCTGTGGATGGTGAGTGTGGTGGGACTATTAGTGACTCTAGTTCATGGTACAGTTTATGAATTAATGATGCACTGCACAACTTTTCTGGTGGAAGGTCCGCTACCTACCTGTCTCCATGGAGATTTTACTGCTTTGCCTGGAATGTTCCATGGTATGACTTTAAACATATCCATCTAAATTTTATTCATTATGGGTGTTTCTATTTCTCAAAACTTGCAAAGAAAAAAAATACAATACTGTGAGTAGGGGTGACTCTCCACAGATCTGAATTGTAATGTAGTGTAGTGCTGTAACCTGCTTCTCCACCTCGTGATATAGATAGGTTTAATCTACACTGTGGAACATTCTAGACAAAGCAATAACATTTCCATGGAGACAAGCAGGTAGTGGACCCACAAGTAGAAAGGTTACGCAGTGCACCTTTAAAGAGGATTATCCCATGTTTTGGCCCATAACTATAAAAAAACAGCTTCCATTACTGCTATGTAGCAGTATGTAAGAAGACAACCACATAATTATTTTCATTTCTTCTCCATATTTACATTTAACATGTTCAACACAACAGATATAAACTGGAAATGCTTTGCATTTGCGAAGGTCAAAATAATAATCATTACAGTAAAATTCTCAGGGAAGTGTGCTGAATTTTAATTGAATGTTACTATAATTTTGAATTCCAAAAATGTTGATGCTGTTCCACCTTAAATAAATTAATAGATTTCTATTCCTACACACAGTGCACAAATCATGACAGTATCCATCTTTTAAGTATGCACTTAGAATGTACACTATTATTTACCCTTTCCTCAGACATATACAGGTATGTTAAAAAAAAGTGAAATGTTTTCTTTCTTATTGATCTTACCGGTATGACCTAGTGGTAGATGGGCTGTTGGAGGAGTAGAAGACCTCTGTGTTGTAGAGGGAGCGGTCTGTGGCAGGTGACGGAGGAGGGTTTAGGATCTGCAAATACAAAGAGGGCAGAGTTAGGGCACATGAGGACAGCTGACATGACTGGTGTAGAGAGGTGTAGAGAGAAGTGTGCAGGTGTGAGTGTGAGAATGGGGGACCTGGGGGTAGAAGGCTCCTTTGGTGGAGGACGAGCTGGAGGAGGAGGCCCCGGTCACATGGTTCCTATCGTAGAGAGGAGCTCCACTGCTGCTGCTGCCCATCAGACTCACTGAGCTCATCATGGACTTTCCACAGGCGATACCTGCACACAGAAGTCCCATATTCACTTACAACAGCAAACAATTATTTATGTTTCAGTTTTTTATGTTTCAGTTGTTGCATAAATCAGCTAGTTAAAATTATCTATATCCCATTCACAAGTCTTGAATTTGATTTGATACATTTTGAATGAAAATTATGTTGTAGTCTTTATCAGTAAATAAATATACAGTATATATTCTTAGAATTATAGTTCAAGTTTAAATATCTTATGTTTAGTGTTTATCATGAATAAAATGAGACTAGATCCATATTCAATCTAATTTGTTGCTAGAATGAATTGTACAACATAAAGTATAGTCAGATACAACTATTTAAATGGCCCAAATCATGCTATTTTCTGAACTGTTATAATGTTGTTTCCACATTATAAAATGCCCGGAGTTGTGTTTTGTTTTATTCACATGATTAACACACAAACCCTTTCAAACAGAAAACACTCTGTACCACCTTGTGATGTCATGTGGTAATACAGAAAGTGCTTCACTGGTTTTAAACTCCATACACCATCACAATCAACTTTGAGTATGTTTCTGAGGAGGTAACACTGTTCTAACATGGCTTAAAGCTCACATAATATCTTTCCTTTAATGTGGAGAGTTTTGACTTTTACCTTGAAAAGTTCCATGCTGGGCATTGGTGGGACCAATGAAGTTGAGTGGTACATGAGGGGTCCCGCTGATGTACTCGTGAGGGAAGCTGCTGCTTGGGCCTTTGTATCTTCGGCAGACCACGCGCTGGCACACGAAATACGCACCACTGATCATAAAGACCAACAGAATGATGGCTATGACCAGGCCAATGGTGCTGGAGCCTGTGCTCGGGATGCCACTGGAGGAAGGTGAGATGAAGTCTACAAAACAACAAAGAACAAACTCTATCCATAAACAAATAAACAAAAGATAGTTAGGTTAAAAAGTCCACTATGTAACTTTTCTGCTACGTAACTGTTTGTCTCAGAGGTAATGTTATTGCTTTCATATCAAGCTTTTATTCAATTACAAGTGTCTTTATTGCTAAAGAATACAGACACAGATATGATCTGCAACTTGGCCATATGGGACCTCCTGCTTGTTAACCACGGAGATAGAGAAGTGGAATGCCATACTCAGGAACATTCCATGCAAAGCTATAACATTTCCATGGAGACAAGCAGGTGGAGAACCGTCCAGCAGAAAAATTATATAGTGCACCTTCAAACTTCACTTGTATTTTAGAAATCAATGTCATTACCACATTCAAGTTCATCTGATCCATCTGCACAGTCGGAGTAGTTGTCACACTGCTGTTTTTTAGTGATACACTGGTTGTCACCGCAGCGAAACTGATTTGGAGCACAAAAAACTGCAACAGACAGAGGAGGTGTAGTGTTTCTTGTTTTTTTTTTTTATTTCTTCTTTACAGTGTTGGAGTATACATAAAATTACTGTACAATTAACAAACAGTAAAGAGTTACAGACTGGTCAAAGCATAATAGTATGTTAGCGATATAAACTGTATATATAAAGGAAAATAGCTAACCTGCTAGCTGTTGTGTTTCAAATAGGAAATTACCATCTGGCTCCATTGACTTTATCTCCAATTGCCTTTACATTGGAAAATTGTCACCCTTCTCTATGTAACTGCAATGAGCCTTGTCATTTTGGCTGCTCTACATGTTCCTGATGTTTTTATTCCGCTATTTTGTCTGTAAATAAATTCCCGTTCCTAATATGTAATGCTGCTCCAAATTCACTCTATAACTACTATCCTCGTGAGCTTCATTTGACTGGAGCAACGTCTTTATACAATGTATGGTCAGAGATAACCTACCTTCACAGTCTTGCTCGTCGGAGTGGTCGGCACAGTCTGGCTCTCCGTTACAGCGCCTCTGGGAGTCAATGCATCCTCCTTTGTCACATTGAAACTGGAAAGCAGAGCACACAGGACAGTTCTCCTCATCGCTCCTGTCGTCACACTCAGGAAAACCGTCACAGCGCCACGCCATAGGGATACAGTCAATCTCCCCAGTGGAGCAGGTGAACTGCTCTGTGGAGCAGGTAGGTGGGTCTGAGGAGGGATAGTGAAGAGCGTTATCAGGGGAAACATGCAGTGGTTTAAAACAGTTTGTTTCAGTAATGCCACATATTTTGCACATACACAAAACTTATGCCTTATTTGACACCAATCTCTTGCTATTTTTGCTACTTATTTTGAATTTAATCTTACCATTTATATTGTTGCTATATGTTCTTTCTCACATCACATTGTGGATCAATAAAGTTTGTCTAAATCTACGTATAATTAAATCAGAATGGCTGCAATTATTTAGATAATAGCTCATTTGAACTTGAAATCTTGAACCTACAGTTTAAACCTCTACAAACATATTTACGTTTACATACTGAGCAGGCTCCTACTTTTTAAACGTATATCTCAAATCTAATCACAGTATAAATATAATTTTTTTTTCTCCAGAATCATGTAGCTCTACCTCCACAGTTGAGCAGGTCCTGAAGTAAAACCAGGTGCATAGGACAGGAGCAGCGAGGTGTGCCATCTCCTTTGGCAATGCAGATGTGAGAACAGCCTCCGTTGCTTTGGAAACAAGGGTGCGATGCTGTCAACAATTAAAAAAAAAACTTAGAAGAAAAAGATAATAATGCAGTAATGACAATATAGAAAACAGCCATAGGGCACTGGCAACATCATTTTCCTTTTATGCCTGTCACGATAATTACAACATCAACTTATCATTCAATATATGAAAGCTGGAACATCTGTTTAAGGGATTAGTATTTATCGTTTCTTTGCATTAGTGGGGAAATTTTTTTTTTTTTTTTGGGTATAAGACCAGATTTAAGCCATAAAAACTTGAATTTTTGAACTTCAGTGACTCATTACAGATGTAAACTAAGTACTTAAGTGTTTCAGTCTGCTGTTTATTTATTACAGCTCATGATTTTTTTAACAAAGCTGATGATTTTTTTAACTAATGTACAATTGGCTACCGTAATTGTACATTTACGGTAGTCAAATTTTTTATTATCATTTATTATTTATATTTACGTCGTAAATATATCATACTTCAAAATAAGTTATTGTGACAGGTCTATCTCCTTTGTGTAATTATTTAGCATTCAGTGACTACATAACAGCTGGATTAAATAAATTACTATTCAATTTTATAAACAACAAAGACAGGATAGATACAACAACAGCTGTTAGTAGGAATCATTAACCCTAACTAAGTAACTGATTGCTAACAGTAGGTGGAGCCATACCAAAGTCTGGTGGGTTTGTATCTTCAACAGCGTAAATGGATGTCAGGTAAGAGATTCTGCCCTGTATCCGAGTGCGACTATCTCCTGTTAGTTTGTCTACTCTCTCTATCATCTGCTGCTGCCGGTCAATCCAGTACAGGTGGTCTCCTAGGATTGTGAGGTCCATCGGCTGGAGGATGTTAGAGTCTTGGAGAACGATACGATTTGCACCTGTAAAAAGAAAAACAATAACTATAACTACTTCCAGCTGTTGTAACACATTAGATAACAAGGGAACGTTTCGTGCAAAGTTGATACTTAAGAAGCACATTGTGATAGCCAAATAACAGATTAAAACCATAAACGCTTTTGTAATCATAATCTGTCAATTTTAACAGTTGCTTAAAATATAAAACAAATATAATAGATAAAACATGTAACATCTTTGCACCTGTCAGGTCACTGCTTTCAATGCGTTTGAGATCTGCGTCAGCCCAAAACAGCTTTCCAAGTTTGTGATCCAGAGCCAGAGCTACAGGTCTGATGAGTCCAGTGGTGAACAAAGACTCTCTCTCTGTCCCATCCAAACTGGCTCCTTCAATCTTGGCCGAGCGCTCCTGGACTGTGGTAAAATACATATATCTAAAAGACAAAAAAAAAAAACTATTATGAAGTGGTCAATTTAAAGGGCCTATATTAAGCTAAATTGACTCTTGTGAGATTTAAGCCATGTTATAATGTTACCTCATCAAAAATATATCTGGAGTTGTGTTTTGTTTCATTCACGCGTGTTTGTGTAATCCTGCATTATTAGCCTGTCTATAACTCCAAAACTCAAACTGTTCTGTCCCACCACATGATGTGGGCAGAAAAGATCCAAATCATTCTAGTGAAGATGTATGGAGTTTAAAAACCCAGTAAATTTTGTGTATTAATTTTGTGTGTTTTCTGTTGGAGAGAAGAACACAGCCTAAATATGCAACTCCAGGGATGCTTGTGATGAGGAAACAACCTTGAAACATCAGAAAATAGAGTAATATGGACCCTTTATTGTACTGAGTTTGATATGAATAAAGACAACTGGTGATAGTAATATAGTTATACCCCTTTTCAGCATTGACCACAATCGCTCTGGGTTTGTCTGTCTCATCTTTGAGGACCACTCCAACATTATGTCCATCCATTCTCTGGACATTGATGGTGTTGGTGGTCTCACAGGTCCAGTAGATGTGGCGACTGTATGGATCCAGGCTCAAGTCATGCAGCTGATTCTCCACTGATAAAGTACTGCTGCTTCCAATCATGGTAGCCTAAAAAACAGCACGATTGTCATTTCAATTTGTAGTTTTAATAATAACTGAACTATTTGTGTGACCAACCATGGTGCCATCATCTTTGGCCCTTCTTATGTTCTGTCGTCCATCCAGCCAATAGATAAGACGCTCATAGGGGTCATAGTTCACGGCTCGAACATTCCGAAGGACGTGGATGGGAAGGACAATGTCTGGACTCTGCTCTCCCAAAACCATCCGGCTGATACTGGCCTTCTGAGTGAAGAGCAGGAAACTAGAGGGAGCTGCAGAGGAAAAGACAGAGACTTTCATCTAATGTACTTTTTGTGCGTCCTCATTTTAATTTGTTTTACTTCTGTTTCTGTAAATTTATCTAACACAATTGTTATACTCACAGCTACAGTTGTGTCCATCAGGGTTGAGTGTATAGTGAGAAGCACAGCGGCACTGAGCACCTGCTGGTGTGGCCAGGCAGAGGTGGGCACAGTTGCCATTGTTGTGGGAGCATTCGTTGGTCCCATCCTGACGAGACGAGTGGAACACCAAGATATCCAACATCAACTCCAACTGGCCCTAAAAACACATAATTTTACTTATATATTCAAGTGAAAAATTTATTGATTTGAAAATAACCTTTTACATGTGAAGTGCTCTAACCTGTAGCACTACAGTGCGGTTCTGTCCACTGCGTTTATCTGCACGCTCAATCCTTCTTAAATTAAAGTCTGTCCAGTAAATGAAGTCTCGGTATTGAGTTAAGCCAAAAGGATGAGGGAGGTCATCTATTATGATCTCTCTCTGCAGACCTATGCACATATAACAGTAGTAATATATTTGATGTGGATATTGACGTGAATATCTCGTTAGAATATAACATTAGCATTACCTTGCATGTTGGTGCTTTCGATCATGTATGTGTCCAGGTCAGTCCAGTACAGGCGGTGGTCCACATAGTCAATAGTGAGTCCATTGGCACGGCCCACTTTGTCCACCAGGGTCACTATGGTGCTGCCGTCCATGTAGGCTTTGGCAATCCGAGGCCTGCCTCCCCACTCCGTCCAGTACATGTAGCTGAGGAGACAAAAAGTTCATTCACACAGAACAAAACATGACCTAACTTTATTATGTTTATTAGGCAATGAATGCCTGCAATTGTAAAATGACATCAGTGTGTTGCTCTATGCACAAAGAGTGTCAAACATGTTGGCACAGGTCAATGGTAAGCTATACACAGGGCACTGTGTGGGCGGATGAACTCACAAATAATGCTAACCCTGTTAGCAGCGGCTTTAAGAGCAACACACCTGGACAAGGTGAAAATTATGGGATTGAGTGGAACGCTGTCTGACTTCATTCAAACTATTTTGAGAATGACCTTTTATAAATGACGACAAGCGAAACCTAGACTTGCATAAACATTGCCACATTGTTACATTCTGTGAACACAAGCTGTGTTTATTTCTAGATTGATACTAAAAGTGTTAAGCTAAGACTTAGTCTATTTGATTACAAATCCCAGAGAATGTTACTACTGTAATCTCCTCAGTGTGGGCACAGAGTCTTACCCTTGGGCTGGGTCCAGAGCCAGTGATCGTGGGTTATCCAGATAGCGCGGGGTGTCGATATTATTGCAGATCAGGACCTGATGATAATGCCCATCGAGCCGAGCCACTTCAATACGATTTGTACCAGTATCAGCCCAGTAAATATTACGCCCCATCCAGTCCACAGCCATGCCCTCTGGGTAATCAAGTCCAAACTCAATGACGTGCTCAATAGTGCTGCCGTTCATGTAGGCTCTGCTGATTGTCTGAAATTGAGAAAATATTTTTTACTTTTTCTGTATAAAAATTATCACATGTTACAAACTTAAAAGTAATCAACATTTTACTATGGACTGACCTTGGCCTGTATGTCTGTCCAGTACAACCTCTTTTCAGCCACGTCGAAGTCCAGGGCAGACACCTCTTTGACCCCGGTGAGTGGAATGGCCACATCATTGCTGTTAGTGCCCAAAGAGATGCTCCGTATGTTATCTCTGTAAAAGAAAAGAAATGCCATTGAAAAAAAAAAATTCCTGTAACCCATTTTTCAAATTGAATGTGCTATTGGAATATTACATTTTTATTACATTAAACTAATAATCTAAAGTATCTGTATGTTCATAGATACCTGTTGGTGAAGAAGAGGAAGGCCTCGGGCACCACACACGAGTGCATGTCTGAGAGCAGCTCCATGCCCATGGGACAGGCGCAGCTCACAGCCTGCTTCCTCCAAAAACAGAGGTGACTGCACCCACCATTATCCACAGCACAACCATTTGTACCTGTGCAGAAACAACACACATTTGTATTGTATTCCAATACCTGAATATGTGTTTATATTTTGTAAACATCATCTTTACCATTTGTCTCTGTGACTTTAGTTGCTTTGAGCCCCATTAAATCCGGGAGTTGATCGATGATGATTTCTCGTACAGCGGTGGTCTTGTGGACTCGCTCAATACTGCGTCTTTGCCAGTCTGTCCAGTAAATGTAGTCCCCGAGCAGCGTGAAGCCAAAGATGTGAGGCAGCTTGTCCTCCAGGAGCACCTGCCTGTTACTGCCATCCACATTAATCACCTGAAACATAAAACAACACAAAGAAAACACATCAGTTTTCATTTCATTTCATTACATTGCATTTAATTTATTTAAAAGGCCCATATCACTCTATTTTCTGATCTATGTTATAATGTTGTTTCCTAGCTGTTAACTTAACTAAACTATACAGAGCCTTGTGAGCTGTGGAGATGTAAACAGACTAACAAAAAAGGGTAACTCAAATGTGTGAATGAAACAAAACACAACTCTAGGTATGTTTGATGATGAGGTAACAGCATTATAACATGGCTTAAAGCTCAAGGAGTGACTTTTGCGTAAAAATAACCTTTATGATTTTAACATTATATAAGTTCATTTTAGGTTTTTGATATGAGAAATCAAACAGAAGAATGCAGAATAACTGGTGACAGCAACAAGTTAACAGTTTAAAAAAATGCTAGTGATAAACAACCACTTTTACTTTCATAGTATTTGGCAATAATGTCTTAAGATGGTGCATGGAAATTTCCCATATTTTATTAAGATTATCAATTCATTGCATTATTTTCTGACAGTGCATAGCCTTAGTCGAAACAGATGGATTACAGGCTGAAACTGTAACTAAATCAGATTTTACAATTGTTACAGCTGTGAGGAGCCATTTCTTCCCCTTTACCTCAACTTAAAAGGGGGGTGTGAAGAGTACGCAAAAAGATAAACAAACCCATTCAAGTTTCAATGGGCCTCTGATCCAAAGACATTCCTGACCCCAACACAAAAAAACTATTTATCACAGTGACACAATTAGACATGGTCATCGCGGTGAAAAGCTGTCCGAGAGGCTCCCTTTGTAGGACCTCTGCTCCTCGCCTGCTCAGTCTTTCTCTGTGGCGGCTTTTCAGGGAGAATTATGGGCTGGGACTAGCGCTTTTTTTAACGCCTCATCTTTTTCATCTTCTGGGTGTGAGAACATCTCTTTTCTTGATGGAGCGCAGAAAAAAGGGCAGGAAAAGAAAGAGAGCGGCCTTAAACTAACAAAGGGCTCATCAGACATGCAGGCAGTGGACGGGCCATCACTGAAGCGTTTGCCTGTGTCCACAAAGGAGTTCTCGGTCAAAACAAAAGAGCTGTATAACCAAAGCTAAAGAATTGGGAAAAATGGGAAAATGTGTTGGATGCTCACCGTCTGGCTTTTAAGTGTTAATTTGGGATTTTGGTGTTTGGGCTTTGTGTGGTGGAGCGGCGTAATCTGCAAATCAGGGCGCTTCAAACCAAAACAAAATCTTATCTGATCAAGCGAGTATGCTTACATGTACTAGGCGTAGTTCTGCAGTACTATGACTACTGAAAATGTACAAATAAAAATACTGATACTTTAATGGAGTGTTCCAATCTGCCACTGGAACATTTCTCTCTCAGTTTTGGAAAAAGACCCTCGAACTCTACCTCAAACTAGGAATCTTATCTGATCAAGTGAGTATGCTTACAAGTAGTAGGTTTATTTCTACAGTTATATCAATTTGAAAATGTGCAAATAAAAATATAACTACTCTAATGGTTATTGTTATATAGCCCCATAAAAAAATACATTTTACGTTTTTATATATTTCACCGTATAAGTCACCATTGCAAACAAGGGATAGGTTTTACTTCAGGTGCCCGTCCCAATACTATGTACTGGGATGGTAGCATTAACTTCTTGAATTAAATAATTGGCTGATATTGGCCATGACAGCAGTGTAGACAACTCTTGACTACAATTTTTAAAAGTTATTCTTTTTACCCGCACCACAGCGCAATATGTGTCTTTTATTCATTCCTCAGTTCCAACCATAGCCCAGGATTGAGTTTTCATGTCTATATATCTTTGTTCAAAGACAAAATCTAATGAAAAACAGATTTGAAAATGTTTACATATTCTGTTCATTTGTACCTTATTTGTTTCATGACCAAAAGTGAGAAACACACACAGCTGTCCGCCACAAACTGTTACTGACCTCAGCAGAGCTTCAATGTGACCACAGTGTTCTCATTATAACGCGCACATATGTGGACCAGAGACGGCGCGCTCTGTACATCTGCTAACACTGATGTCAAACTCCATTACGCCTCTCAGGAACAGGTGTTTTTCCTACTGGCTCAACATAAAAGTTTTACAAATTCAGCTACATTTGGTTTTCAGAGCCAGAGGAAAGCTGCATGCAATACAGTACAATTTTAATCAAGATTGAGATTCAGTCATGTCCAATCGACTATGATTTGCTTGAATGATTTTAATCGCGAAGTCTACATAGGCCTTCCACTACAATTACAATATGAACTTATCGTTCAATATATGAAAGCTGGAACAATATACTTTTAGGTCAATATTTATCGTGTGTACAAATTCTTTGTAATAATAGGGAGATTTTTTGTTATTTTAGTTGTAATACAATATGATTTGAGCTATAGAAGGGTGAAATAGTGCCTACTATGGCTAATTATTGGTTTATTTGGCTATTTATTTGTTGTAGCTCAAGCTTTTTACTAATACTATGTTTTTTCATACTGCCCCACCCTAAAAAAATACTTTTACTTTTTATCTTTTTATAGTGGCAGATTGTTATACTATATCTTATCATCATTTGAAGACAACTGATAACTAAGACTGATGCTAAAACTAAAGCAGCTCTGTGCAGAGACCAGTAAACAGTGTATCTGTAATGTGCAGCATAAAGATAAGATGTACTACCACAGTTATAAATTATACAGAACAACTTTGATCATTTGGGAAGCAATGTCTTTGAAGTGCAGAAAACTGGGGAGCTCCAATATAGTTTCAAAGGGAAGAGTTGGTTATCAATAAGTGCCTAAGTTGTTTTATTGACTGGGTGTAGAACAGACGTAGGCATTTCCGTTCTACAGATTACTGCACCCTTAAAAAAGAAATCACAATGTTTACAACAAAAACATGCAAATCTGTCTTTAAAGGTCCTATATTACATAAAACTGAGTTTTAGGAGATTTAAGTCATCTTATAAAGTTGTTACTCCATCAAAAACATATCAGAGTTGTGTTTCGTTTCATACACACATGTTTGAGTTATCCTGCATTATTAGTATCTCTACATCTCAAATGTTCAATATGCCCTGTTCCACCTTGTGATGTCATGTAGTGGTAGTTTTCAAGTTAACAGCTTCTTTAACCTTTAGTTCAGAGAAGATTGGAAATTCCAGGGTTGAAATCATCTAAATGATACTAGTTATGGTGCAAGGTGTATGGAGTTTAAAAACACAGTGGAGCATTTGTATGTATTACCACATGGAATCACAAGGTGGAACAAAGTGTTTTCTGTTTGAGAGGTGAACTAAAATGCAGGGTTTGTGTGTGAATGAAACAAAACTCAACACTGGGTTTGTTTGTGATGAGGAAACAAATGTATGTGATATTACATACATAGATCAGAAAATGGCGTAATATGGGTCCTTTAACAGCACATAGGCATTTTTTTTTAATTGCTGCACTCTTAAAAATCAAATCATATTTTTTATAACAAAAACATGCAAATCTGTCCTTAACTGCACTGTATTGCTATGTGTCGAATTGCAGTTTTAGACCCCTACCACGGATAGGCCACAATCCAAAATACATATTGCTTTTTTAAATTCAGTCTCAAAGGCTTTGGTGTGAAATGTGTTGTAAAGAGTGATTCTTGTAGGAACACAACGCAGGCATGAGGACGGCTTATTGAAACAAGGTGGAGGGCCTTAAGCAGGGGAAATTCCACCTTCGACACACAAACACACAACATAACACATGCCTGGCTGTACCAGGATTAATGGCAATGTGCATTATTGCAACAGAGTCTGCATTTATCCGAACCTTAGGCCTTTTGTGTGAAACTCTCAGTGGTCAGCTTTCATTTTCCCCAGACACACACAGCAACAACTCTGCAGTATTTATAGAAAGGAAATGGTTCAGTGTGCAGACAGTCAGACAGGCCAGAACTATGCTTTTCCTGATGGTTTTCATCTATACATCACTTAAGGGGGAAAAGACTTTGTATAGACAGACGTGAAAAACAAAGCTTGATAAGGTTCATTCTTGCGTAAGTTTTGTACATAACCACATATTTGGGGAAACCGAGTGCATGTCTAGCAGATACACAAACATTTTCAAGATTGCAGTGAATAAAAAATAACACAAAAATCTGCAGCTGTGTTGGCCCTTGAGCTAGTCACGAATGTACAGTATAAACAATACGCCTATTCACGCTATGAAGCAAGACAAAAAAAAAAAAAAAAAGCCACACAGTAGTCTATCAATTGCTTGCATAGCCACCAGCCATAGATTCAAATCAGTGGTGGTTTTCTGCTAAAGGCCAGCCTGACTTTCCTGAATCTTCCCATTGACACATCCTGGCACCAGTCTAGCATCTTAATCACTGAGAGCACGCAGCACTGAACTGGAATAAAGGTCAGGAGGTTAATGCCCACTGCTGCTGATAAGGTTTTGTTGGATTATGTTATTAAAGCCAAAAGACAACATGTGTTAAAGGTGTACTGTGTAACTTTTCTGCTTCTCTCCATGCAGATGTGCCTAGAATGTTCCACAGTATGACCATAAACTTAAAAATCTCCATGGAGACTTGCAAGCCAAATTACAAGTTAGATTTGTGGAGCGGTAACCCCACTCACAGAAAAACATGTATGTTTTTAAGATAACAAGATACATTAATTTAATGCCATACTGTGGACAATTTAAACCAAAGCATTAACATCTCCATGGAGACAAACAAGGTGCAAACCCTATTCAGAAAAGTTACACAGTGCACCTTTAAAGTGTTTTGGACATACCTCGATCTTGTCAGTTTTGGCATCTCCCCAGTACAGTTTTCCAGTAGAGTAATCTAAAGCCAGTCCATTTGGCCACCCCAGAGATGTGTTGACCAGAAGCATCCGCTCTGTGCCATCCAGGTTGGCACGCTCGATCTTTGGGTTCTCCCCCCAGTCCGTCCAAAACATAAGGCTGAAAGAAACAGACAGAATCATGGTTATAACAACTCTAATGTCTAAAAATGTCACAAAAATTAAAAATTCAACTTGCAAATACTTACCCATTCATTGGGTCCAGAACAATGGCTCTAGGTTCGTATAAATTGTCAGAAATTAAAATTTTACGGGAGGTTCCATTCAGTCTTGTGACCTAAAACAAATATGGCAAAACATTATCATTTTTACTGTTACTGTTAGTCAGGGTAAAACTCTACTCTGGTTTCTGAAAGTTGTGAAAATCTCCGGAAGGCAGAAGGTAAATAAGGAAATAACTCTGAATCACTGCAAACTGTAAAACAAACTACTTTGGTGGTCCATCACCTGCTTGTTTCAGCAATATGACATTAAAGAGCTCTATCTTACATTTACTAAATTACAGGTGCTTTTATAGCTTAAAATACATTTAAAAAACTGGCACTCTGAGTGTTGCCTCTCCACAAATCTGACCTGTAACTTAGTCTGGTTTGTTCACCATGGCCTTACGCAATACAACTTTTAATAACAATAAAAAATCAAATCCTGCACCTTTAACTTAGCTTATGAATAGCTTGATGTTCCCCTGACTGTTTCTGTTTATTGTACCTCGATGCGGTCAGTGCCAGTGTCTGTCCAGTACAGATTTCGGGCAACCCAGTCCACAGCGATGCCGTCAGGGTGTTTGATCTCCGTGGTAACCAGCGTTGTGGCGTTGCTTCCATCCATGCGAGATCTTCTGATGGCTCGTACCTCGTCATCTGTCCAGTACACATATCCCTCCACCGGGTCGTAGTCTATGGCTATAGCGTGCCGTATGTCGTCAAGCTGTTACAAATTAAAATGAATATTAAAATTACACAAATAAATGCAGTAACACAAATAAATGCAATAAAATGAATATAATAATTACATAAATAAATGCAATAAAAGGTGATTTAGAAACTTTAAGACAGCTTGAAATAAAATACCTGAAGTACGATGTCAGTGAAGTCCGGGAGGTCCAAAGAGATTCTTCTTAGGTCAGTCCGTCGAGCCAAAAACAAAACTTGCTCTGCTCCTAAACACATTATTAACCACATATTAATACTTATAAATTATTAGCTAGTAAATACATACATCACAACAATGCCTGTCATGGTAACACATTTTGAAGCACAATATACTGTATTGCTATAGAGATAATAAAAGATAACATTGAAACTACTTTATGTCACTGACACAAAGCAGGATAATTCCAGTAAACCAATTATTAAATAGAACTCAGGCTTTTTAAATCATTAGAAAGAGCTGCAACAAATAAATAGCAGAATGAACCAATAATTAGCCACAGAAGTCATTTTTCAACCCCCTACAGCTCAAATCGTATGGTATTACATTAAAAAAATTGCCAAAATCTCCTCATTATTGCAAAGAAAATAAACCATGATAAATACTGAGCCCCAAAAATATATGGTTCCAGCTTTCACATATTAAAGGATAAGTTGTTATCGTGATAACATAGTAGATTTTCACTCGTTTGATCAAAATACTGCAGTTAATGTGTTTAAGTGTCTTGCTTTTCTAGAAAACAATGGAATGGTGCAGTTATGATGTATTTGGTGGGGGGAGTATTAGCTGTGTGCCAGGTTTCCAGGATCAACAGAAAATGGTGGGAGCAAAACCATGCTCAAATATTGTCCTGTGCAGATCTGGTTGGATTTAGAAAGCAAAACATCAGGAATACTGGGTATGTTAAATAAACAGGTTTCAAGTATTCAAGTTGAAACCAGAAAACACAAGCACATATTCAAACTCCAGCTATGCAGGCCTGTCATGATAATTACTATATCAACTCATGAAAGCTGGAACAATATATTTTGGGTCTGGTATTTATCATGTGCACATGTTCTTTGCAATAGTGGGGAGATTTGTCTTATTTTAGTTGTACTGCAATAAGATTTGAGCTGTAGAGGGTGGAATAAGTAATTTCTATGGCTAATTATTGCTTCATTCTGTTATTTATTGCAGCTCAGGTCTATACTATGTATAATCCCAGTGAACAATTTTTTAAACAATGTAGTACTGTTTAACACTCTTGCACAAACTTCCCAGTAGATGTTAGTAATGGTAGTGTTCAACAGTATTTGATATTTTGCTATCATGCTTTTTCAAATCCAAGTACACTTACCATAACACCATAAATTAGCACTAAATAAATAAAATAAATAAAAATAAGGACCTCACAATTCATGCATTGTTAAAGGCCAGAGAATAAAAGTGCATCTTAAGATGAGTCTTAAAACACTAGACTTTTTAATACTCTCAAATAAATTAACTGAATCACTAGACTACCTCAACCCAAACATATATACTACCATTTATGAAAATTAATGTAGCTAAATAATTAATTTAAAGTGCTTACTAATCAGACAATTTACTGAAAGTTAATTTCAGGTTAGTTTCCGACTTAAACCCAAGAGAGTTTAACGGAGATAATGAACTGAATTTGAAACTAGTCATGTTTAAATAAAGTTATTACCATATTTGGACAGATTTATTTTGTGAATAAACATCCTGGATTATATACGGCTAACGAAGCTAAGAACAAGAAGAACACAGAAGTAACATATCAGTTGCTGGATGAGGTTAAAGCTTCACGGCGTATCTTAAACTGCCTAACAATCACTTTTCCATCCCCAAAATGATCCACAAAATCAATTAAAGGATAAAAAGCAGAAGAAGGGGCAGAAGAGATTTGAGTGATTTTGCTCTTTTCTTTGCTTGACTTCATTCTGGGACACTTCAAGACTCCTGACAAGCAGACAGACTCACACTGCTGCCAGCGGAATAACAAACGATGTCAATGTAACCAGCCAAGCAAAACAAATTAGAAGCACGGACAAAGACACACACACAAACTCACCATCTCCAGCTTTCTGTGGAGGCACAATGCGTTCCCTGGCCCTTTCCTAAATTTACCCATTTCAATTGAATTCCTAATCCTGGCGCAAAAACAAAGCCTATTAAAAAGTAAAAACTAATGTTGTGTTGAGGCTAAGTGTCCTGCCCAAACAGCTGTGGGTAAACTGCCCTGTACGAACACACACATAGGTCTGTGGGAGGACACAATGGGGTATTGTTGTGTTTTATTGTCAACAGTGGTGATTGGTCGGCATACTTCGTTCAGATTTAATAAGTTCACAAAACATACAGCGGCAGTCAAACACAGCATGATGTTTGTGGATGTTACCACAATAAGGGGCTATTGTTTAAACAACGTGGGAATCAGCGTGGCTCCTGCTCCGTTGGTGTCTCACAGAGGAGCATTTATCCTTTTACAACCTGTCCTGCCAAGCTTCATGGAGATTTATTAGGGAAATCTACCTGTTGCAGATACTGTGGGTAGGGAGTGAACAAGATGTAATGGAAAAGACCTTCTCAAAAATGGGTGAATAAGGTGGTTAAAAATGTAAGGCTGTGAACATTATGACAAAGCTATGTATGTTTAGATTGGATTGCTTTAAGGTAGTTCACTAAAAGAGTGGGGAAAAGTCTGCTACATACTGTCCTCTGCAAATAGTAAAATAAGACCTCTACAATGATGTTCGAATACATTCTTGTATTCGTTTAGCAGTTCATATTTAAAGGGCCCATATCACGCTATTTTCTGATCTGTTATAATGTTGTTTACTCGTCGCAAACATACCCAGACTTGTATTTTGTTTCATTCACATATCATTACCACACAAATCCTGCATATTTTGTCTGAGATCTTGCTGCTCCACTGTGTTTTAAAACTCCATACACTTTCACTAAAATCATTTTGATGATTTCAATCCTGGAATTGCTGATCTCTGCAGAGCAAAAGGTAAACGGTAGCTTTTAACTTGAAAAGTATTGCTTCATAACATCACAAGGTGGAACAGAACATTTTGAGCTTTGGTGACGTAAACAGAGTAATGATGCAGGATTACTCAAACATGTGTGAATGAAAGAAAATACAACTCCAGACAAATCACATCTTGATACTTCTCCCAAACTATACAACCATTTTCCACTTTTTAAAATAAAAAGGAAATATAAAATTTTCTGCGAGTATTAAAGACAATTAAGCTCATATCTGTCTCTCATATTGCAACAAACCACATACAAATCTTGATAAAATGTTTTCTATATAGATTCAATTATATAGCACAATCAACCAATACAATGTACCACAGATGTTCATTAATATGCACTGTCCCTATCAGATAAATAAATACATAAATAAAACTATATGTGAAGTACCAACCTGGTTTGCAAGTCTTGTTATCTGGGTTGAGTCGGACCCCAGTTGGACATGCACAACTGTAGAAAGGAGGGACAGGGGAGAGCAAGCACAGATGACTACAGCCCCCATTACTGTCACTGCAGGGGGTTTGAACTGTGGAATTTCAACACAGAAGAGAAGTATTAATAATGAGCTTGGAGCAGATGTTAAGAAGTGTACGACATATAGAGAATCGTACTGTGGGGTTGCCTGTACGCCTCCAGCACTTGGATGTCCATCGGGGAGTAGATACCACTTAGGATCTCCCTGGTTTTGTCTCCACTGTGTTTATTGCAGGCGTGAATGGAGCGGGTCTGCCAATCTGTCCAGTACAGGGTCCCCTCAGACAGAGTGAGGGCAAAAGGGTGGGTCAGGGTGCCCTCCACAACAGTTTCACTGTAAAAATAAAGTAGTTATTTATGAATTATCATTGAAAGACATGTACTACAATCAGTAGTGGATGAAACACTCAATTTTGTAAAGTAAAAGTACAGATACAATGGGAAAAGATTACTTAAGTAAAAGTACCAGATGTAAAAAGCTACTTAAGTAAAACTACTAAAGTACCTGTTTAAAAATCTACTTTAAGACGTAAGTACTTTGCAGAGATTTTATGAACAATTAAAGCATGAAATGTGGTGATTTTGATCAAAAATTTAGCTGATTTTAAGTGATTCAAATGATTTCTTAGTTTTCTAACCATTTTTTTCGTTTGCTCGAAATTGGGATGTTAACTCAAATTAAATGTGCTAAAATTAAGTGTCAGCCAGTTCAGCAGGGCTCAAACTTTAAAGCAAATTACTTTAAAATTTCTGTCTAGATCTACAATGTTGTGGAGTAGAAAGTACAGACACATGCTCTCAAATGTAGTGAAGCAAAGTAAAAAGTATCCACTGGAAAATGTACTCAAGTACAGTACTTTTACTTTTGTACGGCATTACCATCCAACACTGACTAGGATAGGTATAAAAGGTGCTCAGTACCGTGCAGTGCCATCCAGGTTAGCTCTGTGAATAAAGCTGAGTTTGGCATCCGCCCAGTACAACTTGTGCTCCACCAGGTCAATCGTTAAACCATTGGGCCAATATATATCTGCACCTACAATCACTTTTCTGTCAACACAAAACAGACAAGATGACAAATATTGTATTGCAAAAGTATTTATTTAACCTTAATAAGAAAGTTATGTACATTACCTATTGGTGCCATCCATGCCTGCACGCTCTATCCTTGGCTCCTCTCCCCAATCTGTCCAATACATGTACCTATAGAGAAAAAAATTACTTTAAAGATGCACTGCAGAACTTTATTAGTAGAGGGTGGATCCACCACTTGTTTGTCTCATTGTGTTGAACTGGAATGTTCTGCCATAGTATGACAATAAACCTATGGTATGTATCTCCATGGAGATGTTGCAGGTAAGATCAGTGTAGAGGCAATCCCAAAAAGCATAAGAATGTAGGTTTTCAAGGTATTGTTTCAGTTAAAATACAATAATGAAATAAAATGCTGAACAGATGTTTAATGCTATCCTGTGCAACATTTGCAACAAAAAAATAAATAAAATGGAGACAAGCAGGTTACAGGCCAACTTCATTGTTCCACAGATGAACTTGGTTGCAGTACATAAACAATAACTGGCTAATAATTTGTCACTGCAAATCCATACCAGTACTGTGATTTGTGATGATGTGATTAGGAGGACTAATATACACACTCAATGCATGGGGACCTGCTTCTTTTATGGAGACAAAAATCAAGTCACCATGGCTGAAATCCTTTATTAAGTCAACAATATGATTGTTGACTTAATCAAGATATGATGAAGTAAAGTTATGATCCATTTTGGTTAGGGTTAGGCATGAATTATGGATTAGGAGTATAAATGAATGCCAACTAAAGGGCAATGAAACAGAGTGTATTTAAACATACCCTTCTGAGGGGTTGAGTGCGATGGCCCTGGGCTGGTCTAAGTCCATCCAAAACAGTACTTTTCTGGAAGTGCCATTTAGATTTGCGACTTCAATTCGATTGGTCTCTGAATCTGTCCAGTAAAGCTTTCGTCCCAACCAATCACAGGCCAGTCCATCAGGGCTGTCCAACCCTGCCACCACCACACTCTGCCCTGTTCCCAGAGCCTCTTTTAAAGCTACAATAGATGAAAATACAGGTTAGCAGATGTCTAAAAATCTTATTGATTATCAAATACCTGAATTCAAGTCAGAAACTTTATAAATGGACATATCTAACCCACATTCCGCTATGTTTCAATTCGGAAGTGAGCATGGGGGCGCTTCAGGCTCCATCAACTCCAATTCACTTTACACTGAAAAATTGTCACCCCCAAAAATTCTCTCTGTTACTGCTGCAGTGAACATCGTCATTTTGGTCTTAAAATGATGATATTAAACCACTGTACATGATCCTGGTGTTTTTATTTCTTTATTCTGTGCATAAATTGATTTCTGTGCATACATTGATTTTATTCTGAAAATAGAATTTGGCTAGGCTCATGAGCTTCATTTTACTGGAGCCAATGTCACACTCCCTTAGTCCATTTCTTTATACAGTCTATGATTCAAGAGCATCTTACAATTAGATGACTGGTTCCAGTGAGTCTGTTTGATGGCCTCTTCGCTGACATCAGTCCAGAATATGAGGCCTTGGTCGTATAAGAAGTCCACAGCTGCTGCATCCTCCAGGTCACTCACAACGATGGCTGACTCCCCACGTACCCCCTCGGCGTCCACCAATCGGATGTCTCGCCGGTTTGCAAACAGCAGCAGAGGTTTGGCTGTAAAGTGGAGATTTTTAATGTATATGTTAATTCAATTGATCACAGAAACATTGAGGTACAAATTAGGTTTGCGTTCATTTCAGATTTTCAGTGCCAATTTCTATATAAATTTCTGCTTCTAATCTGTACGCAAGTCAGTGTACTGAACATAATTTACTATATCAACTTATTGTTCTATATATAAAAGCTGCAACAATATATTTTGGGGCTCAGTACTTTTTCTTTGCAATACTGGGGACATTTTGGCCCATAATTTTAAGATTTGAACTGCAGAGTAGTTGAGAATAGAATAAATAACTGCTCTGGCTAATAATTTATTTGTTCCAACTCAGGCTGTTAATCATACTGTTTACTGGCATTATCTTGCTCAATGGCACAGTATTTTTTCAATATTATTGCTTATCGCAATATTTCTATTTCGTAATATTTGTTATCATGACAGGCCGAGTATATGTAAAAGTATTGAGGCACCATAGGTTTGCATCATGTTTTCAGTGCAAATTTCTGTAAAATTCTGCCCCTAATCTGTACGTAAGACAGTGTCCTGAACAGCGGTCCTGTCTTACTGAAGATAAATCACACAATTTTTACATACAAGAGTGAAGAGCCTACAATCTCATAACATCTAAATAATGAATAAGGAAATCCAAAGTTCTCCAGCAGCAACATAGAAAATCTTACTCCCTAAAGGGGCACCCACACCTGCAACATCTGCCAAGTCCAATAAATTGTTTCCTGATGCAAAGCAATGCACATAAAAAGTGACGGTATTACACATAAAAAGAGAGAGGGGTGTTTTTTTCATGGCTGACAACAACTGTTTATAACACAGAGCAACCAATGGCGGATAAACTCTACTGATATTTTCGGGCTCATATGTTGGACTAATTTTGATGATTTCCCCCAAATTATGTGATTTAAATTGACAAAAAACTCCCCTCAAGACCTTTTACTACAAACCTATAAGAGAGCTGTGTAGTCACATTTGAGCAGCTGTCTTGTATTCAAGTGTTAATAAAAAGCTTTGTGTGCATTTTTTAGGCAGCAGATTTAACTGAAAACTCCAAATATCTGCCTATCTCTGTTTTCTTCATAGTAACTGTTTTTGGTTGTGCTTTGCTTGATAAAATCTGTTATTATTGTAGACAGATTTTCTGTCTACAATCTTCGTAAATCTGCACTGTTGGTAAACTGTTATTTAGGCTATATTAATATTAATAAGTGTATAATAGGAACCTGGATACTTGTGTGGAACATTTTATTATGTAAAAATCAACCACATATAACCAATATATTTGTGGTGACAACTGGGTTATATTAACTGGTAAATTGCAAAATGAACCATAATAAATGAATTTGGACTAGAATAGAAATTTCCAGCCAAACAAATGGATGTAAGCGAATAATAAAAACATGCATATTGAATAATAGGGTACTTGTGCTTCAATAGCTGACCTCATGCTGAAATTGAAAGGTTCTAAGTTTTGACTCATAATTATTTGGTCTGGAAATGTACCAATGTCAACTATTTGAGATTCGCAACACATTCCAAAGGGTTGGCAGTGTTTAGTTAATAATATGGTATAGTAATTACATAATGATGCATGCTAATAACGTATGTGTAAGAGTAGAAAGCTAAATAAACAGTGAAAAACCAACCATGGCATTATAATCAACATAATTAATCAAGACATTTTTATGTAAACATTCTAGTAGCCAATACTGATTAGTTAATAGTATTGATGGTTTGAGAAGAGGAACAGCACAGACATTTGCAACTCTAAAGTGTGATTAATTTGTGCAAGCAGGGAACAGCCTATGGTCTGGTCAAATGCAGAGGTAGTTTTCATGGACCTACATCTCCTCTGGGTGCACTATAAGATATAAGCTCCGCCTGGTGAGTTACAAAGTATGGATTGCATAGCTGAATCTACAAACCAACGAATTAAAGTTACACGAAGTAATACAGGGAACATGAAAGTAGAAATCTCATAAGCTGTACAGGCTTTGTGTTTTCTTAGAAACATCCGGTAGTCTTATTTACTATAAAGACAGACACCCGACACCGAGCAGGAATGGCTGGAGTTGGTGAGGCCCTTAACTACTGCCATAGACTGCTCACAAACTTTCCCTACCTTAGACGAGTGACCAATAACGACGGAGAAACCAGATTCGCCATCGCGTAAAACCAAATGGCCAAAGTACAAAAGTGTGCGTAAAAAGTCTAATAAAGTTACGCGTCTTGGAGTTAATGTGAAATCCTAAACTTGCAGCTAGCTCACACTTTGGCCCAGTGTCGAGAGACTTTCCCCTGAAGTGGAGTAGCACCTGAAGCGTAACTACAGCGCTCTTAACAAACACGGCGCCGCAGTCCAAAAGAACCGTGGCGAGAATAAAAAGAAGTCTACGTACCGTCCACCGCCACCGACAGAAGCCAACAGTGCAGTGTAAAAAACAGCAGCAAGCCGCCCATTTCAATCTCCTTTAAATCCACAACTCCATGATCAGAGGTTGAGTCCCGGATTGCTCTCCCAAACGAGCCCTCGTCCGCGTAAACATGTAGTAGTCGTCCGTCCCAAATACGTGCGCATGAGTGTCTCCTTTCTTAATCTCTGCACTTTTTCTTTTCGGAGGTACTCACAGGCTTTCACTCGTGCTTCTTTTATACTTTGGACTGTGGCGAGCTCGCGCACGGAGAGAAGAAGGGACTCGAGTGCCTGTGACGTCACCGCGGGTGCAGGGTGCAGGGGTGGCGGGACTGGAGAGAGGGAGCAGTGATTTGTTTGGGACTCCTCTGGGACTTGTTGCCCGCCGCTGTGAGCGTGTGAGTGTGTGTGTGTGGATAGGGGTAGTAGAAGGGGGTAGGCCGAGCTTCCAAAGTGGCTAAAAAGTGTTTTGTCGCCGCGCTGGACTGGCCACTGATTGAAACGAACACAGGACACCACCTAGAGGATGAAAACAGGAACAGTGGAAAAAATGGGGCCACTATGGGGTCCACATGAGTATTGAGGGATACTGCAAGAATGTGGTGGAAAACTAAGATTAAAATGCATATTTTCTGCTTATATTATCGCCTAAAGGACTATAATGAGGAAGTAGTAAGTAGTCTATTTAAAATGCCAAAAGTATTTTTTATTATATATGTCATGGCCAGGACAACAAGCCTAATAGACAACATAGGCCTATACACATACATACATAACAATACTTCAAGAAGATAATATAATAATAGTAATTATTATTCTTATTACCTTTTCTACTTTTTTTTTTTCACAGCTTATCTAAACCATCCCAATATTTCCTTTCTTCTGGACACATTTAATCTGAAGCGCCAACTGGCTCCTGCTTCAAAAGATCTGTTAACTCAAAGCATATGTACTGGACTGTGAAATGAGATGAGCAAGCATTTGTTTTATTACTTCTGTAGAAATATTATCTATTTCTACAAAACTGAATAAATATTTCAATATTTTTGTTTTTATTTTACATTTGTAGGATCATTTAAAATTATTGTTAGCCTATTACTCTCTGTGATTTAGCTCTCTCAAATCACAGAGATTCAGTACCAGGTTCAATTGCCAGACTTAGGGGGGCCCGTGTGCAGTTTGTATTTTTATTGTGTGTTTTTGTTGGTTTCTCTTGGTGCTCTGGTTTTCCTTGGTCTATAACAAACTTAATCATAACAATCATAATTCAGTGTCAGTTTAGTTTTGTCTCAGTAATGGATAAGACAAGACGTCAAATAGAGTGGATGAACAGACCAGTGGTTCTTAACCTTTTACCCATGGATACCTCGCCAACCCTAACATTCTAAATTCTAAAATATATATTTATTTTCTGGTTAATAGGCCTAAAGATGTGATACAGATGTGCAAAGACTTGCCGTTCCAAAGCCATAACCACAAGGCTACATGCAGAGTAGTTTAGTTTCTTCACTGATTCAAAGTATACAGTAAGTGTACAGGAGTAGGCTTAAACTACTTCGTGTGTTGACTCCATTGTAGCCAGACACAGGAATGTCGTAATGAAACATATTTTCCTCCACCCATCACCTGCATCCCTAGCGGCGCGCTTTGATTCACACTCAGGCCTATACAAACATTAAAAATATTCTCCGCATTGGTCTGCCTGCTGCTCATAAATACCACACTTTAAGACCAATATGACTGATGTAACATACCTTTTTCTATTTCTGTGTGGTAACTGAAAACAGGTGCTGGCAAAAGAAGAAGAAAGATATCTCTGTTGTAGACACATCTGTCCAGGTTACTCTGCACAATAAATATCAAGTATCAGATCAGTAATGTTTCAAAGGTTGATATAGAAACTAGAAATGCACTGATCCGGCTTTTGCAGTTCTGATATTATAGCTTCTGATCTGAAAAATACCCAGTATCAGACTAAAGACAGCATTTACTTCCTTTAAACAAAAATAAAATTGAAGAAGTACAAAACTGAAGAAGTACAAAATCCCTTAGTGTTGACTGGAAGGGCTTTTTTTTTTTTTTTTTTTTTAAAAAAGCAAAAATAAACATGTAGGGGGTAATTTTTAAAAGAATTTCTTAAGAAGAGAATTTTTTGAGAAGTGTATGGATCTACTATTGAGAAGAGCTTGAACAGATGCGGTTGCTTCTTTGCTGATACAAGAATATCGCTTTCGTCATTCTTATCTTCTTGAAGACTGAATTCATATTTTATGTAACGTCTAATTAAAGGTCCTATTTTGCACAAAACTGACTCTTGTGAGTTTTTAGCCATGTTAGAATGTTAGAGTTGTGTGTAGTTTCATTCATACATGTTTGAGTAACCCTGCATTATTAGTCTATCTTCAATCACAAATCTCAAAATGACCTGTTTTACCTTGTGATGTCATGTAGTGGTAGTTTTCAAGTTAACAGCTACGTTTTACCTTTTGTTCAGTAGAGACTGGCTACTCCATGGTACCAAGGCTGGTGCTACCTAGTGCCTCCGCTCAATTTCATTTCTCTCCAGCAACTAGGTCAGGAATCGAAATACACTAGACAATTTGCAAGAACCACAGAAGTGTGAGTCCAGGCACCAGCCATCAGTGAAGAGCCATAAATTCTGTACCTGCCTATCGTTGAGCAAATGAATTCTAATCCTGCCAGGTCAGATGGTTTCCACAAAGTTAAACAGGCTGATGAATCAGGCTAACTCCACGGCTGAAATTATCTAAATGATTCCAGTGAAGGTGTATGGAGTTTAAAAACGCAGTGGAGCACTTCCTGTATTACCACATGACAGCATTAGGTGGAACAAAGCGTTCTGTTTGAGAGAACTTAGCCTAAATATCCATGTGAATCAAACAAAACACATCTGCAGGTATGTTTGTGAGGCGGAAACAACATTATAACATAAAAAGAAAATATGATGTGAGAACTACAACTCCTTTATGGGTCAAACACTTCCAAAAGGACAATAAATACATATTATGCATTACTCTTGATTTAGACCTCCATATTTTGTTGTGTAAGTGTGGGATGAGCCCTGTCTATTCCAGTGAGTCAGCATTTTGTTATGGGAACGTAAGCTCTCCTGAAAATTGATGCCAAAACACATTTTTTGCTCTTTTTCATGAAATACATCAATTTAGCTGGAACAAAGGGAGTTTAAATGGAAAACAGGTGCAACAGTTTACTGAATTCAAAGTTACTGCTAACATATTTGTTGTTGTAAACAGCTGCATGAGGAAAAATGAGGCGCTAACGTTAACTGGCCCACCCAAAGGGAACCAGTTAAACTTTATTGTAAAATGATGTGAGATTGAGGGCTTCTTTTTAATACACCTTTATTTTTCTATAGTAAATGAAAACAGCAGCAGACGAAAGAAACCTAACTTTAGACACGTCTGTTCACCCTGCTGCCATAAAACACATAGGCAGGACTTCAGATCCTTGGTATGACTCTCTTATATAATTCATCAAGATGGTGAGTTATTGTGCTATAGCTGTTTTAAATTAACTCACCTGGACAAATACGTTTCATGTCTAGTCCAAGGAGCTTCTTCTGGGGCTTTGATGTAAATATACTACATGTTTTAACTTCTATCTTTGAATTCTGAACTTAAAAACATCTCAAGGTATCATCTGGAGGACTTCAGTGAGGGAGCTCAGAAAAATGAAAAAGTCTAATTACTTTTATAATTTAAATCCTGAAAACATGATTTATATTTTGGATAATATTAAATCAGCTAAATATTAAATTGACTCTTGTGAGCTTTAAGCCATGTTAGAATGTTGTGTGTTCTGTCTTCATATTCAAAGCTAAAAATGCTATGTTCCACCTTGTGACGTCATGTAGTGGTAGTTTTCAAGTTAATAACCACCTTTTAGCTTTAGTTCAGTAGAGACTGGCAGTTCGAGGGCAAGGACTGATGGAAAGTAGCTTGTAGCTAAATGCGTCGCAGAGCATCTTTTCCCTCTGAGATTAATATTTTCTGTGTTTTCTCCTTGTTTAAAAAAAACAAAAAAACAAATCTCAAACAGAAAACCCTCTGTTCCACCTTGTGATGCCATGTGGTAATACAGGAAGTGCATACAGGTACAAAACAACATTGTAAGAGATCAGAAAAGAATAATAATAAGGGCCCTTTAAGGACATAATTGAATTGTCATGGATTGTATTCTATTTTTATGTATTTTACGCAATGATATGATTCTACCTCCAACCAGTGCTGCTGTTGTGTCTTTGGGCAAGACACATCACCATGTCTGGCCTGTCAATGTGGCATAGTGTTTTAATGCACCGTTTTAATCCACTTATACCGTGGTCCCACAAACTTTTTTAAATCGGACAACCTTTCGGCTGTCCAAGGATGTTCAAAGCGTTTATTTTGGTTTTAGTTGAAGCTAGTCCCTCCTATCAGTAGTTCATTTGTTTA